AATGAACCATTCCAGCTGTCAGCAAGCAAGCCATCTATCAGTCAAGGACTGGACCTTTCAAGCAATACTTTGATTAAACCTTTGGCTTCCAAGCTGAATCTTCTGTGCCCATCAGTAGTCCCAAGCTCCCCTGGCAAATAAACACAGAAGTGCTAGTGGGTAAAGCACGTTTGTGTGAGATTTCCAACCCAATTTTGCAGACTCAGATGTTAGGCAGTTTAGATAAGAGGATGATTAGAGGTCTAAGCCTTAGGTTTGAAATACCCAGACATCCTGGAACCACCGGTGCAAATCCCAGCAGCGTTGACTCAGCCCTACAACCTCCTGATGAAGATAAAGTGAGCTCCGTGCAGAAGTGTGACTTGTCAATCTTCACCAGCAAGACCCAGCTGGACCTGAGATAACGATGGTGGTGGCTACAGCATACAAGAGGATTTGTTATGCAGCAGAGGTGTAGTATCCTAAGTCTGTCCGTGCTACAGCTGTCGCTCTTGGGCTCCACCAGCAGTGATTTATAGACCCTAAACTTTTCTAGAGTTTTGCTCCAGCATGTTCAGCATGCATGTCCAGAGTTTTTCAGTGCTCCCAGCTAAGCAGCAGCCCCTCTTATCTGTCTGTAGTGCTATATATTGACCACTTTGGAAGAGCACTGTATCAGTACAGCTTGGGAGTCACCCTTAGAGAAAAGCCTCACAGAAGCATACAAAGTTTTTCTATCAGTTGGTGGAACAATCCAATCATTTTTGTTTAAAAAATAAATAAATCAAAGCCCCAGATCTCTGGAATGACCTTCACACTAATATTTGGTTTGCCAAGCACAGCTACCCAAAAATTATCAGCAAACAACTTTTAAAAAATAATCTGAGCTAATGGAGTTAGTCTTTCTCTTCCCATTTGTTACTGGACAATTAGCCAGCATGACATTAAATTCCTGCACGCATTTCCTCTTCCAAGTTATCCATAATATTTTTCTTTAATAATTCACAGAGTACTTGCAATTAAAGCTTGCAATTTATTCTTTTGTGCTGCATCCTGAAAACTAAGCCAAGCGATCAGGGTCTGTTGTGGAAGAAATGCTAAGAAAAAACACCCTCTTCTGTAACTATTAAATACAGCAGTGATGACTGATTTCACAGCGAAATATATGATTTGAAGTGCACTTTAAGAAAGTATGGAAACAGCAGAACTAATTAAACCTTTGCCTTCCACGAGTATTAATTACAAGTCAAATATTCAAAAGACACACATGTCAGTATTTTCAAGGGAAACTCTACAAATGAACACTGGTACAATCCCAGTGGCACATAGTCAATCCTCATCCTCTACTAAGACCTACGGATAATCAAATCAAGCCGGGGCAACAGATATTCAGTTTTATTACTCAGTCCTACATAAGAAAAGTGGTAGGAAAATTACAGCTCATCCCCTCTCCTCCTGTTCGCACTGCGGCCAACTGGATGATGACCCATTGGCACCTCCACCCCCAAAATGCTCTCCCGCAGAGGCGGAGGATGCGGTGCTCGTTCACATTTTTTGAGCCAAAAGAAGAATCCCCAAACTGCTGTCCACCAAATTCATATGAACAAATTAAAATAAAATTAAAGTAGTAACTTTAAGAGAGGTGGAAGCATGGATCCTGTTTTCCCAGACTTTGTGTTCCCTTGGTTGAATTATCCTGCATCTTAAAGGGTACAACTCTCCTGTACATGCTGTGATGGAAATTTTCTCCAGTTGGCTGCAGCTGCAATGACTGCAAGAAAACATCTATCCCTCTCTGTCTCTCTCAGATTTTTTAAAGATTAGTAATACTGCTTCTGCACAAGGAGAAGCTTTTACTTCAGTTGAAATAAATGGTTTGTCTCTCTTCTACCTGGCTTTTTATTTTCAACAAACGTAAGACATCCACCCCACTGCCACCTTTCACTGAACCTTGCAGATAGGCTCTGAAGTTACTGCAGGAACCAGTGAGACCTATTTCTTTTAAGGAGAAGCTAAAAATGGCTACAGAAGCCATGCGTACAGACAAGAAAATCTAAATAGCTTAATGGAAGTCTTAGCTTTCCAAGTAAAAGTGCCCATCTTCTGGCTTTTAATACCAGGCAGCCAGCATTTTCATTCTGCTTTAGTCTGACTTAAATTGTAACTCCCCTTGGGGCAGCATCTTTGCTTTTCTATTTGCTTTTAAAATGCCCTGCATGCCCAGGAGCTACAAGGAAAAAATTATCTCTGGTGCTGCAAGGAGAAAAGTCTCCACTAAGACGCGCCTGAGTTTTGTAATGAAATTGTCCTCATGTTCAGATGTCCCGGTGCACAAACTTTTCCTCGACAGGGTTTCACTAGAACTAATACTTGCCTTTTGTTGTTTGAATACACAAGGAGACTGCATCTGGGCTTGCGTAAGCATTCACATCAGAAGGGTCTTTGTAAGTGAAACTCCCCTGTTCAGAGAAGAGAAAGAGTGATTTTCTTGACCCATCCCAATTTGGCAATAAAATTCAAATGTGGCAAACCAGACTATCCAGACTTTTATTTTTCCTTTCTTTCTTTCATTTCTCCACCCCCCGCCTCTCCTTTCTTTTCAAAGTAACAAACATTTTGTTGAATTGTCCTAAATAATGATGTTTGAAACCACTTCAGTCTGTTTAAGATCTCAGGGGGAAAATCTGGTGAATAAATGACTTGGGATAAATCAAATCATCCTGTTCTAACAACTGTTTCTTTCACTCTCCTCATCTTGATTGCTATCCCTAATTCTGCACGCCCCCATACCTGCATGGCCAACTTCAGGGCTTCAACACTTCTTTGCAGCCACCCTCTCCACCCCATCTCCAGCGCTTGGCCCTGGTGGTCCCCGACCCAGCTCTTCTCACAAAGCTGTTAGGCTTCTCCCGGCTTGTTTTCTATAGTAACTTTTCTCTATGGAGTTCCCAACCTCCCTCCACAGCCCCACACACCCCGCTGCCAGGCGTCCCCTCTCACCACCCTTTCCATCAAGGCCAATGTGCGTTGTACAGCTCTATCCAGCAAGGAACCTCGGCTCCTTTCAGCTCTCCATTCCTCTTCTTCCCTTAAAAAGAAACTTCTCACACAAGCACAGTCCCGCCATCTACACCACAGCCCGGTGCCTCTCTACATCTCACTGCAAAACCAGCCTAGCACCCACTTCTCCCTACCCATGCAATCGTTTGACACGGTAGCTGTATAATTTACAGCAGCCCTTTCCAATGGCCTTTGGATAGGATTTGCATAGGAAACATGGCCCGGCACTGTGCCGAGGAGTCAGGAGAGGTCAACCGTTGGCTTGACCTCCTAAGCCCATCTGCCTTCGTGCAGGCAGAAAGACATGCTCTTAACATGTATTATCTGCTCAGGACATTTGTTTCGGGAGCAAGTTGCGTTAAGCAAAGGTACGTCAATTGATAATAAACCTGCTCCACGCTGTCATTTGTGGGTGATTTGAAGAAAAACAGACCACGTAATCAGGTCTAAGGGGTCCCTAATACCAGAGACGCTGGTGCTGTCAGCTATAGAAAATAATTAGAACGTTATCCCTGTGGCAAGGAGAATGTAAATACATCTAAAATACGACATAATGACATTCTCCTCTGTAAGCCAGGGGATCTGCTTCAAATAAAAGGGCCATTAACACAACAATTAAAGCCGAGGGGGCTGGTGAAGCAGGGAGCCGGGCTGGTGCAGGGCGAGGCGAGCAAGCGCCCGGCGTAAATCTTTCGCCATCCCAGCCAGGAATGTGACTATTAGCCCTCTCATGACCCGAGGGCTTCCCAATAATGCATCTGCTCTCTGTCAGGGCCAGGATTTCGTAACCTTCTCCAGCCCAAGAGGAGGGCCAACTCCACGGTGCGGCGCCAAAGACGGAGCGGGGTGGCTCCAGGCCGGACCTTGGCCCCGGTTCAGCGAAGCACTTAAGTGCTCGCCGAGGGGACACGTCTCGTCGCAGCAATTTGTGTGCTCAGAGGGAAACACGGGTGGGCTTTTCTGAATGAGGCCCAGCCAGACTCACCCAAGGCAAAGCCGGACCCGTTTTCATCTTCATTTCTCCATTTTCTTTGGAGGACGCATGCTGCGGAGGTCCCAAGCTGCTCTGGGGATGTCCTTGTTGTGAAATGCCAGGCTACGGAACCTAGGAGACCCAAAGCATGGGGAGCACTGCAGAAATTCAGACAATTCCAAGGATGCAGTGTCCCTCTTTCCACTGTCCAGGCAGCAGAGGGCTTCGAACATAAAATCACAGAATCGTTTGAGTTGGAAGGAACCTTAAGGCCATCTGGTCCAACTCCCTGCAATGAACAGGGACACCTACAGCTCCACCAGGTGCTCAGAACCTCGCCCAGCCTGACCTTGGCTGTCTGCAGGGATGGGACACCAACCACTTCATGCCCCAGACAACACACACTTAATATTTCTTAGAAGCCCAGTAAAAAACTTACAGAAATTATGGGTGAATGCTTGGAGAGAATATCAATTGCTGCTTCTCTTTCACTCTCATTGAAAGAGGAGTAGGTGAAGGTAAGAGCCCAAACACATCAGGAACTTTGATTTTGGGCAAAACACACCTGGCATGCCCCCATAGGACCTGTCTCTGATTTTGAAAACTCTTATACAAAAAAATAAATACAACTGAGCTGTAAAATTAAACTTCCTCGTTTACATAAGGCTCAGATATGGGAATTGGACTAGATGGCCTTTAAGATTCTCTCTTCCAATGATTCTATGATTCTGGAATCATAAGATTTCTTAAGAGGAAGCTGATGGGTTAGGTAACAAACACAGATTTTTTTTCATACATAAAGGCCTTACCAGGTTGAAAGTACTTTTAATATTTACCGTTGTTGTTGTTAAAATTGGATGACTTTTTGTGGTAAATGTAAAGTTTTATGTGTCCAGTGGAAGTTTGTGAATGTCAGAAAACAGGAAACAATACTGACCTGGTTGGTTGTGATGCTCAGAAAGAGAACAGTGCTGAATTCAGCTCTTTGGAATGATTTGTCAAAAGGCAGTTTTATTTCATCAGTCCTCTTTTTCAGTTCTGCCAGTCTTTCTAAGAGAACTACCTAGCAGACACTTAAAAACAAAAACAAAGTAAAAAAAAAAAACCACCTCAAATTTTTCTTTTCAGCCACGTTTCAAAACACCAAGGTAACATGCTTCCTGCACCCTGCTTTCAGCATGTGAAAATTAATCCTTTACCCAGCAGTAAGTTCAATTAGTTGTGGGATATACAGAAACACTAGTAGGTATTTAAAGGTGACTTTTTTTTTTTTTTTTTTAAGAGGACAACTCATATCCTCTCAACATTTATGAGTAAGGAAGATCATAGAGTTGTTTGAGTTGGAAGGGACCCTTAAATGCCGCCTAGTTCAACTCGCCTGCAATGAACAGGGACACCCACAGCTCCATCAGGTGCTCAGAGCCTGTTCAGCCTGACCTTGGCTGTCTCCAAGGATGGAGCACCCAATACCTATCTGGGCAACCTATGCCTCACTACCTTAGTTGTAAAAACTTCTTACATCCAGCCTAAATTTTCCTTCTTTTATTTTTGAAACCATTTCCCCTTGTCCTATTACAACAGACCCTGCTGAGGAGTCTTTCCCCTTCCTTCTTATGGCCTCCCTGACTCGCACCTGATCTAAAGAGAAAATTAGATTTGCTGAAGTAGGACAACCATCACAGCAATATCTGGGTACAGAAAGAATTATGTAAGCAAAAAGTCAGCTACATGTCCAATATAGAATAATCTTTGAAGATTCTCATTACAAGTAAACACAAGGATAATAACTAGTAGATAAGCTAATTAGTCATGCAAATCTGATGGATTTTCGCTGCCTCCTTCCAGTCACTTACTTCTTTAGGAGGCATTTCTTTTTCTGAGTAGTGCATAGTTGTGCCTAGTTCAGCACCCAATTCATGTTGGTTGGGCAAAAAAGACATTCCTTTAATCTTCCAACACCTTGGTCCTCCACGTGAAGTGCATGGAAAGTTTCCAACAGAGTGATAATATAAAAGAAAATATTAGCAAAAACTCCCATGGAACAAAACGAGGTGGTGTTCTCTGGGAAATCTCATGCCTGAGCATTGTGGACAACAGTAACTTAGAACCTGTGAACAGAAGGACAGCAACCAACACATTTGTCTCTTACGATTATGCAAGCTGCCTTATATATAATAGAGCTAGTAAAAATGATCTGAAATAAACAACATCCAGCCTTTACAACTAAGGTCACACCGGCCAAAAGGACTGTGAGTGTTCCAGAATGCTAGGAACAAGTTTCTAGACAGCTGGAGACATTTTGAGCAAGCATGGGCCAAATTAAACCGACGTGGGAAGCCAAAGTGAAACCAGTAAAAGCTTGCCTACTCAGATGACTTTTGTTTGAGCTGGCAGCTAAATTCAAACAAAATTCCTAGGATGATACTGCTTCAACCACAACAGCAGTCACCTGAGTCATGTGATAAGCGCTTCGCTGTAAAATCTGAGCATGTCACTCCTGAGAGCACTCGCACATCAGATCCATGGGAAGTAAAAAAGAGGGGGGAAAAAGGGAAAATAAAAGCTTTTGTACAAAACCTGTGAACCAAGTCCCCTCTGTCTCTTTCCTTCCAGACATTTCTGAAAAAACAGCTCACTGGAACCGCAAAGAACAACAACAACTGAGCAGCATTCTAATACGGGACATCCTGCCTGACCAGTTGGAGCCAAAAGAAAAAAGCAAGCCATAAAGTCGGAACTCAAATGGGATGTGCAAAACCAAAGCCTTGCATTTGGGGGCATTTTTTTCATTTAAACTAATCTAATCAATTGGTCACCATAACAGAGGGTTCAAGCAGCTGGCTTAGTTAGGTCTGTCTGTGACGAACCTTGGAACCAAAGCCATGTGTTCAAGTGCACGCACATTTGCATCAACTATCATGTCTTAAAATATCTACTGTTGACTTTGTGCATCACCATTAGTAAGTATCATAACACAGAGTATAGTCTAAGCGTTGTTTGTGAAGCATCCAATCCCTAGAAATACCCATTTACTAAGTCCCAAGGATGGATTTCCTCTCATATTGACACACAAACCATGGGTGAAAGTTTATCAGGGATCATTGCATTGTGTTGATGACCCTGTCTTGGGAATGGCTGCAGATTAGAGAGCACGAGAAATAATACAAAATGATGCTAAGAGAGGAAGACCGTAAAACAAGATAGGATCCTGGGAAGAGTGCATTTTTTTCCAGGAAGCAGTAAATATCTGGAAAATTGGAAGACACATTAACCACTAAAAGAATCCTTAAAAGCAGAATGCTTAAAAGAAGATAATTGGCAAAGCTTCTAAGTACGGTAATAGCCAGTTATCACCTTCACCTATGAGCTGCTATCTATTTTCCATTCTTCCCACCAGCCAGGGAATAAGATCTCACGTCTTTCCTGAGAAGAGTAAGGGCACAATGTGATGTATGGCACTGGTTCCCTCTGGCCCATCAGTATGGAAAGAAAAGACTATAGGGATGATGCACAACTAAGCCCAGTTCCAGCATGGTGTCAGATCTCAGCTGGACTGCGACTCCCAGCACGGAGTCCAGCTTGGACACAGGAGCTGGAAAATGCTCCTTGGCCCTTATTCAGTCTCTGGGATATATTCCAGAAATGAACCAGCTCCAGAGCCAAGGTCTGATAAAATGGAGCCTGGGACTGGACCAGGCTGGGTTTTTTTTAAATCCATAACCCCCAAAACCCAACGGTCAGAATTCTACAAATCCAATGCTGTACCTGACAAGTTGGGTCACTGAGGGCACCAGGCATCTGCAGTCCATGTTTGAGTGCACCTCGCATTTCAGTATAGTGCAACTTTCCCTTTTTTGGTCATTTACATAAAATGGAAATTACACACCCTCAGTTTTGCTAGTTCAGGGCCATCTCTGACTTTGCTCTACTCTTCACTGCCACCATCTTATTTTGTATTTTGCAGCCACACAGAGATAAACTCAGTGAGTAAATTGCCAAGGGATGTTGAGGTTGCTGTGAGAACAAAACCAACAGCTGTCTTTCTTTTTATCTAGTAAGGCAAAGGCTTAAATTCTCCTAAGAATAAACTGGTTTTTATTGCAAAAGAAAGAAAAATTCCTAGCAACAACAACAAAAGGGAGAAACGTCCTATGAGAATATAATGGAACTGTGCTAAATTACTTTAAAATAAGAAAACCAGGGTGAAGGGGAAACTCCCCAAAAGTGAACAAGTGCTCTTCAGATTTTAAACAAGGGGTGGATTATTTTTTTTCCTTTCTTTCTCCCTTTCTTTCCAGCAGCTAGAAGTCCCATCTGGTTCCTGTTTCTATTCGTCTGATCTCCCAGAAACTTCTAAAAGCCATAGGCATCAGCCAAAAATTCCCCAGGCATGGACTCCTTTCCAAAATAGCCCACAAAATGGCATTTTTTAGGTGGGTTGGTTTGGAAGGAGCGGAGGGGGGGGATGTTGGTTTCTGTGACATTCCTAGGAATTTCTTGCATCTATTCTCCCCTCTAGAATTTCTCCTCTGCCCGAAACCCCTTCTAATTTCCACTGGAACATCAGCCAGCAGAGGGACTACCCACTCCCATGTAGAAGGATTCAGACCTTCTTGTGAGAGCTCATGAGCTGCTGAGAGGTTTTCATCTCCAAGAAAGGCAAATGAACTTGCAGTTTACTCACAGATGAGGTCGTCTCCATTGGGCTGGTGGCTGTTTAGTCCAGAGGCTGCATAACTGGACATTTTCCTCTGTGATGGCAACATCAGGACAGGAGTTCTGTTAAAGCAAGGTCAAGGCGAGACTTTCAGAAATAGAGGCTTAGTATAAATGGGTAAGATAGATGAGGAAAAAGGGCTTGGATCACCTATACAGCCTCTTATGGACAAAGGGAATTGATGTCTTTTCCTACATGGGAACAGCTGAGGTGAAGGCAAGCTGAAACAGTGACCCTGAGTTCCTTCATGATGGTTTTGCTCCACAGACATGAGGCTGATCAATGACTGGTCCCTCTGAAATGCAACTAGTGTTTCCAATTTCTGTACACTGGGGATCTAATTCAAGTAAGTTTGATAAGGACGGCTAACTCTCTAGCTTCAGCCTGTGCCTCAAAGCCTCCCGGGACACTACTAAGTTAAGACTCTACAAAACCTCAAACAAAGCAGTCCCACCCCCCCCCTTTTTTCTTTTAATACACCTCTTGGTTACACCATGATTCCTATGAAGGGGCCCAGACCTGTCATGGAGACTCCAAGCACAGTGGTCTCTGCATTATTTGAAGCCCCATAATCCTTCACTGGAGCAAACAGCTTAAAAGTGCAATCTTTCAGGCGGTAATTCAGAGACACAGGGAGAGCAGAACAGCTCCAGAGAGCTTGATGATGAGATGGTCTGCAGAGATTTAACCCACTCACCGCGCCAGAAGAAAGCAGTCCAGGTCACTGATTACTAAAGGTTGCTAATTTTAGACATTTGAATTAATGAGATTAATTTAGTCTCACAAAAGAACTCAGCTGCTTGGCTGGATCCATCCAGCATTTGTGGGAGAGGAACAAAATAAACTAAAAGGTCACAGCCTTATCTCAACATCCTTCACTTACGTGTGTTGACCAAAATCACTGCTTGGGTAAGCCAGCCTGGCCAAAGTGCAAGTGTGCTGGCCAGAGACTTTCTCTTCTGCTGCCGAACACATCCTCTCATCTCGTCTTTGCGTCTTCCTAGGATGCAGGGAGAAGAAACCAGCAATTTCTCCAAAACTGCTGGCACAATTGTGGCAAATCAGAGAACTTCAAGAAATCCTGACATCCCCGTGCCCTTCCCAGCTGTGAAACAGGTGATTTGATTGAGCAGGGTGATTGCACCAAAGACCAAGCAGCTTTTCTAGTCAATGCACAGCTACAAACATCTCTCAAATCCTCACAGCAATTAAATACTTCATCAATAAAAAATAAACACACTTCATTTTCTATTTATAAAAGAATCTCTCCCTCCTCCCCCCAATGTTTTATTTTAGCAAGTGCACTCAACCATGTTCTCAATCTGCACTTCATTTCCTGCTATTCAGCTTTCTGTGGTTCACAGACAAAAATACCTGGGGGGGAAAAAAAGCACAATACCAGATCCCAGGAGGCTCTGACTTACTGCAGGAAAAAAATGTGGCACGCTGCATAACAGGAGCCCATGCCCATGCTGGGAGCAAGGAGGCACAACGGGCAGAGCAGAGTACATTAACTCAGATCTTATGGTGCCAAGAGCTTCCTACCACTTCTCCAGCCATGAGAGCAGTGAGCCGCTCTGTCTCCATCATCTGCCACTGGTTCCTCAGGAGCAGTGGAGAAAGCAAGGAGTTCTTTCTGTTGGAGGAAAAGCAGCGTGCTGGGCAATCCTTCAGCCCCAAAGCAAGAGTAATCAAGAGTTTGAGTCCCAAGAAAAGGCTCCTGGGTGATCTGTGAGCGCCGTTTAATATCTAAAGGGGGACTGTAGGAAAGAAGGGAACAGACTCTTTAGCAGGGTCTGTTGTGACAGGACAAGGGGAAATGGTTTCAAACTAAAAGAGGGAAGATTTAGATTACATATAAGGAACAAATTTTTACAATAAGGACAGTGAGGCACTGGCACAGGTTGTCTAGAGCTGTGGCAGATGCCCCATCCCTGGAGACACTCAAGGTCAGGCTGGATGGGCTCTGAGCACCTGATGGAGCTGTAGGTGTTCTTGTTCATTGCAGGGGAGTTGGACCAGGAAGCCTTTTAGGGTCCCTTCCAACATAAATGATCTTATAATTCTACAGTTTCTGCAGCCATTCCAGTCCACAAGGATTCTAAACAACTGTGGTTGGCACAATGTATGAGAGCATAGAATCGTAGAATTGTTAAGGCTGGAAAAGACCACCAGGATCATCCAGTCCAATTGTCCTCTAATGTTGTCTACTAACCAGTTGTCCCTCAGTGCCACATCTCCACATTTCTTGAACATCTCCAGGGATGGTGACTCCACCACTCCCTGGGCAGCCTGTGTCAGTGCCTGACCACTCCTTTGGAGAAGAAGATTTTCCTAACGTATAACCTGAACCTCCCCGGGCACAACTAGAAGCCATTCCTTCTCATCCTAAATCAGATTCAACCTAGCAGCAAATTGCAAAGGGATTTATGAACCAAGATATATAGGGTATCCTCGGGCAGGATGTGGCCATTTGTGATTTGGATAGAAGGACGAGGTTTTGAAAGAGGGGTGAAAATGAGGATTTATGTTCTTGGTGATGAAGTTCTCCTCACCTGCTGCATCATACTCTCTTTTTATCTCTTTTTTTCATCACACTGAACTTTCTTCTAGTGATGCTCCCTGCCAGAGAGAAAACATAGGACACAAGTGAGATGAGCCCGACAAGGAATCCACCAAAAGAGACTTGGCAGATCTACCTCTGTCACAGCCAAGGGAGAACAAGTGAGGCTGGGGACGGAGCCATGGCAGTCCAAACAAGACAGTCCCACACTGGCTGCTCCACTGGTGGCAGAGATGATGGAAACAACAGCAGGGAGCTCACTCACTCATTTTTATCAAGCCCCTTCACCCCAAGTAATGTGAAATGAGATATTAAATAGGTGACACAGTCTTAGAAACAGTCTGTGCTCCAGCTTCCTCTGCCATCCCCAGTGGAGAGTTGCAGCTACAGGGTTTGTTGGGGTTGATTTAGCGAAGGGAAAGGAGAGAGGGAATGGAGCCAGAGCTAGAGAGGGAGAAACAAGAAGGAGAAAGGAACGTCCAGGGAAGGAGCGAGCTTGGGGCTAAACGTAAGTGTTAGGGAACACAGAAGAGTTTGTAAGCACAGAGATGGGAAGGCAGAGAAGGAGAGCCAAGGATAAATTGTTTTGATGAGTGCTCCAACCCTGAAATAAATATAACCACCCAAGGGGGCTGTGTGACTCAGTCTGACATTTTGGCTATTTTTTTCATGCCACCAGATGTAATCAATTTAGCTGGGGTTGGTGGGGGAAGCACACACGTTTTTATTGCATTCTAATGTCCACCAAAAAAAGATGTATTTTGTTTTGTTTTCTACTTGGAGTGTATGGCACTTCATGCAACACCAAGCACAAGCAGAACTTCCACCTGCCCTTTGCCATCACAGAAATAAGAGTTTGGGGGTGTAGGGGCAGATGGATCTGTTTAGGTGCAGCCGGTGCAGCCAGAGCAGCCCCCTCATCTCCACTGCAGCGGGAAGAAAACCTCCAAGCCAGAGGAGAACGTAAAGGAAAGCTGTGCAACCTCATTCGCATTCACTTCAATATGCACGAGGGAACAAATATGGCCAATAACATCCTAAGATATTGTCGTGCTGAAATTCTTTGTTTACCAAGAAACGACATGTTGAAAGCCCTTGGCATCTACGAAGCAGATGATTTCTATTCATTTATTTGAAGCATTTTGCAGTACTTACCCAGACGCTTGGAGTGATTATCTTGCCAGATCTCATGTGGAGGACTGGGTCAGATGGGCGAGCTCCAGCAAGTCTCCTGGTGTCCTAAAGGAAGCGGTGTGGTACTCAGGCAGGTAGCACTCACCCTCCAAGCCCATCCCACACCAAGAGTGTCCGTCCAGCTCACTGCTTTCGGTTGTAGGCTCAGTTGGGCATACAAACCTTCAACTCCTGTCCAAACCTGTGGGGAAATGTTTCTGCGCATTGTTAAACAGCTCCTGCATTCAACCCAGAGGCTGATGCTGTTCTGTGGTAGGTGAAAAATTCTTATATTTACTCTCTGCAAAATATTTTGGACTCTGAAGACTTCTTGCTCAGGCAGACTCCTCCTGAATTAATAACAGCTTTGCCTGAGCAGCAGTTAGGAAATGAGAAGAAAGTGCCATGGAAATCAGAGTATTTTTCATTCATTCTGGTGATGGACTCTGCAGATAAACGTGCCGTCGGGAAACACCCATTTCCCTTTCTGCCATGCAGCTGTCCACCTCTAGCTGCTGCCCATTTACCTGCAGAAAGGTTGTAGGAACTTAGCCCAGCACAGGGCCTAAGATCACACATGCTCAAACTAAGCAAAACTGTCCACTGAACTGGTCACCAGCTCTCCAATACCACACCTGCTGTGTCTAACATTCACAGTACCATACACCCTGTATTTTCCCTTAGAAACTGTAGAGGTAGCTTTTCCCCAGTTACTTCCTCCATGGCTAGATCTTTGAATGCCCTCTCCTTGCATGGCTGTCGGCATGGAAAAGAAGCCCAAGTTCCCTTGCAGGGTCTTCTTCTTGCCAGCTCTGTTTTAATTAGCACCGTTGCCATCTCCTAGGAAGCGAAGGCGTTTAGGAATAAGGATCCATGTGAGGTCACATAATTTCTTAAGATGATATACAGTACTTCTTCATTTTCAACTCTGAGTGCATCTTCCTTCTCTCTTGAACACATCTCCAGAATCTTAAACGCTACTTCAAAAATCAAATACACTGCATTTATTTAAAGTATCACAGTTACTCTTATCTGTTAATTATAAAATATTTCCCCCTTTAAGTGAGTCGTTTGAAACATACATAAATGATTTTAGAGCAAGAATTCCTTATCACCTATCTTTATGTTTCAAATCAAGCCATCCACCATGATACGTTCTGAGCATTTTGCCAATGCACTGTGCATTCAAGGAACAACTTCATGCGTGCTCAGTACACGGACTACGCCAATTTCATATGTACGTGTGTGTGTCTGGAAGTACCAAATTAATATTTGCATTCATACGCTTGTGGAGACAATTTCCAGACATTCAGGAAGTTGTCCTGACATGATGGGGTGGAGAAGGGAGTGGAGAAAATACTACGTTTGTGCGATGACCTTGTGTTAACTTTGTAATGCCACAAATCCTTGGACTGGAACTCGCTGGCTTTTGAAGATTTAATTAGTTAGGCTTACTATTTGGTTATCCTGACTTTCTAAGAAAAAGAAGGCTGTCAAAGGAAAACAATCTTTAAATTTGAAAATCCAAAGAAAAATGTGCATTAAACCACAAAATTCCTGTCAATAATAAATTCAACCCTACAATCACTGCTACAGAAACATAATGAATGGAGGTTTCTCAGTGCCAAGATGTAATTTTTGCTTCTTCAGTTCTAAACAGATTTTTCTGTGTTTGACTTGCCCTTTCTTTCTTTCTTTCTTTTTTTTTTTTTTAAGAAATAAAATTAAAGAAGAAAATGCTAGCAAACCAAAAGCCTCCTACCAGGGATACTCATAACTGAGTTAACACTGGGCTTTTAAGACCAGCATCCTCAATCCAGATAGGAAGAAAGGCAAGCTGCAAATCCAGTACACGCATTAAGATATCCATTTTAAATTTCCACAACTTCCTAACTGATAAAATACTTTTCCTCAACCTGAGAAATTTTTTAGCCTCTTCACTAAGGGGATGGAATTGAAGTTGCACTAAAAAAGTCTTGATATACTTTGATGCTAGAAGTGGAGATATTTGCCCTTATATTTTTGAATCATTCTTTAAAAGTAGAGCAGATCAAAGACTAATGATCAGTTTGTTTTTTTGTTATTTTGTTTTTTGGGTTTTTTTTTCCAACAGAAAGCATGATTTTCACAAAATCTGAATGTTCCATGGAAAAACTTCAGTTTTGCCAGACCTTTGCAGCTTTCCACTTGGGGAGATCTAAATAATTGATTTCCTTTTATGTT